AGCCCCCACTGTTAGGTCGAGCGTGTCCCCCAACAGGCGGATTTCGGACGAAAAATGGAAAATTGTCATACAAGATGCTCAAATTGTTAGTAAGGACCGAAAAGTTGTCCCCGGACTTGTTTATATTAAAAAAACTATGTTTGAACATTCCTCCTGTAGAGGGACGCGCCCGACTTACCCTACTGTGACAGGGCGGACGGAGGGACGGACACCACGTCGAGCAAGGCGCTCGGCCCCGGAAGGCTGGGCAGTCAGCGCCGCAGCGCTCGGGCGTCGTGCAGGCAGAATGCAGCTTCCAAATATTGCCATGCTGCAGAGTCTGAAGCAGACAGAATCTCGGGGCCCACCAAAGGGGGGGTCTCTGAGGGGGGGTGAACTCGATCCGCTGGTGCATCGAATTCCCCAAAACACGATGCCCCCCGCGCGCCTCGATTGTCGACGCCTCTCGAGTTCCGGCAGCGGCCAGAGACCTCGTTTTACATCGTTTGTTCTGCGGTTCGATGCGCCAACGGACCGAACTCCCCCACCCCCTGTGCACTTCCCCGTCTGCGGGGTCCCGAAAATTGGCGGGACAGAACAAGCAAACAACAAAACTGTGCGTCGTGACTGCCTGCGACACCCAGAGATCTCGGTCCCGGGACTTGAGGACGTCGACCACACGGAGACTGCCTGAGCGCGCTGCGACAATAATCCCGAAGCAAACACGGGAGGCACTGCGACGAGGAGCCCTGAACCCTGGCAAAATGGAAACCTTAGAACAACCCATTACATTGGCCCAGGGCACCAGACGGACACCCGGATTCTCAAGTCCAGGTCCTGGATCATGGATCCTGGATCCTCAAATCTCTCGAGCCTCGGGCAGCCCTTCCTGGAGCCCTCGACCCTGGAACCCTCGCTCCTGGAGTTAGGTCGGGCATGTCCCTCTACAGGAGAATTCTGAAAACAAGATGGGAGATTGCCAAAAATACCCAAAAAAGATCATCAGAAACAGTTTGAAAAAATCGTCCCTGGACTATGCTTTGACTATTTTTGAATATTCCCCCTGTAGGACGTGCCCGACTTAATCCTGGAGCCCTCGAATCTGGGAAGCCTCGGCCCTGGGCCCTCCAGGTCTGGGTGTCCGCGGCGCGCCCCCCCCCTCCCCCCCCCACGGCGGCTTTCCCGCGAGGGGGGCGCCTCCTGGCTGCCGCCCGCCCCCGCAGTGCCGCCGCCAACCTGGCCGCGCGCCTCTCAACCCGCTCCTCCACAAGTACACAATATGAATACACCCTCCTCCATCCCCTGATGGCGTGCGGAAGATAGCGGGCACCCCTCCGCGTACGGTTTTTTTTACACACAGGATGTCCCGGAGTTGGGTTCTGGTTTTTTTGTTCAAAATGATGCCCTCGCTCAGGCGCGGGCTTCATTTTCGGGCTTCCGCTCGTTCCGAATCGTGCTCCCGCTGCAGCGCTGGCCTCATTTCCGTGCTTCCGCTCGTTCGGAATCGTGCTCCCGCTGCAGCGCTGGCCTCATTTCCGCGCTTCCGCTCGTTCCGAATCGTGCTCCCGCTGCAGCGCTGGCGTCATTTCCCGTGCCATGCCACGGCATGCAATTCAATGCTAGGTTGCGTTCCGCTGCGCGATGCCATGCCTTCAGCTGCAGCTGCCATATCCAGCGCTTAAGTGCCACGTCATGCTATGCCATGCTACGCTTTGATCTTCAACGCCATGCTATGCAATGTAATGTTCGGGGCCGCTGTGCGATGCCATACTTTGCGTTGCAAAGCTTTGTGATGCAATTCTTCACTACGCCACGCCACGCCATGCTGTGACATACTACGCTTTGCGGTGCTCTTCTACGCCATGCCATGCCGTGCTCTACAATGCATCGCGTACCCTTTTGGGATCATTGCCCTGCTCGACATCCGACTGTGCGAGTAGAGAGGGGATCTACGCCATGGTAAGGGATGGGAGGGAGGGGTAGGATGTCAGATATGACGCGAGCGCACCTAGCTTGTCCTCTTCCCCCTCCCCCTCCCCCGCCTCCTCCTCCTCCTCCACCTCCTCCTCCTCCTCCTGCTCCTCCTCCTCCTCCATCCTCCTTCTCCTCCTCCTCCTCCTCCTCCTCCTCCTCCTCCTCCTCCTGCTCCTCCTCCTCCTCCCTCCTTCTCGTTCCTCATCCTCCCTCGCCCTCCCTCCTCCTCCTCCTCCTCCCTCCTCCCTCCTCCTCCTCCTAGCCGCCGCCCCGGCCCGAGAGGATTTCGGGTGCCTTACCAGGTAAGGCGACCTCTCACGCGGGGCTGCTGCCAGACGCGCCCGCCCATCCAGCGTGCCCCGCCACGACGCGCAGCATGAGGGCCAGCCGTGACGGAGGCGAGCCGGCCTGGCACCGTCGTGCCAGAGCCGAGCGAGGCAGGGCCAGGACCTTGCTTCGCATCGCCTCAGCCAGTGAGTTACTACATAGACACCACAGCAGCATGACGAAAGGTCGTTCCAGAGGTGACAGCAGAGGACGTCATGATCGTACAGAGCGTGAACAGCCTAGTTCCCCGCCATGGAAGACGGTCACCAAATACAAGCGCCTGTGGGAGTGTCCAGCATGCACTCACCACAATGCATGGACAGCGCAGGTGTGTGCCAAATGCCATCCCAGCCAAGTTCCAGAATGGAGAGAAAGACGAACCAGATCGGCATCCCGTCCAAGTGGCCAGCGCCGAGCCGCCACCTCGCAGCCCCCACAGCGAGGCGCAGCGAGCACGGCCAAGCAGACAGAGGGTGGTACAGATGACATTATTCCGAGTATGCCGGCCTCCCCCGAGTTCGCGCAGGCACATCGTCGATGGCGCGAACCACCACAAGATCCACAGCAGCTAGGGGACTTCAGGAAAGCATTGGCCGCCACAGTGGAATCTATCGAGCGCCAGCTGCACTGCGCGGCCGCACTCAATCTCGACCAGGAGCAAGTGAGCCGCATGCAAGAGGAGTACAGCGTCCTCCTCTACCAGATGATGCACTCCAGGTCCCCCCAGGCCAGGATCACGAAGCAGCGTATGTTCGTCGGCCGCTGCAAGAAGCGACTCGTGGACGCCCAGGCAAAGATGCACTTACTCCAAGAGCAGTTAGAGGCGGCCGACACTCAATGCCAAGTTCTCACAGATGAACTCGCACAAGCAGAACAGTTGTTGGAACATTTTGAAGATTTGGACGATGAACAACCAATCGCAGGCAGCATCGCCGTTCCTGACGATGATGATGACGAACTCATGATGGACGGACCGCTCGCGCAGACGAGCTTCCGCCCAGGGCAGAGAGGAACAACCAGCAAGGCACCATGGTCGACGGCCAGTTCCTCACCGTTCACGACGCCGCCCAGGACAGCGACAGTGCAGCGCACGACAGCTACTCCTGCCGCGACCTCGAGTACGCCTGTTCAAGCCGCAGCAGTTGGAGGCCAGGAGACACCGCGCTCCCAGGCCGCCCCGCCCAATTCGCAGGCACCACCTGGAGGGCCCACTGCAGCGGTCATGGGTAATGAAGTCAGCATGCCAGCACTATTGGCAGCAATACAGCAATCCAACGCACAGATGTTGCACAACATGTCATCGTTCCAGCAGACTGTGGCCACTTCCAGAGTGAGATTGCCAACACCAGGACCGAGAAGAAATCCGACATGGAGACCATCACCGCCGCCGCCATCGATGCGGCTAAGACCGCAGTCGCCATGCAGACCCCCAAGAAGGACAAGGACAAGCCAGCGCCAGCGGAGATCCAGAAGGCCAACCGAGCCAAGCTGGAGGCGGCCCTGCTAGGCCGCCGAGCTACACGTTCAGTCTCCCCTCGACGGCATACGGACAGTGGACAGGCGGGGGCCAAAGTCCTACGAGCTGACCGAGGGGGTGGAGGAGCCCTGGGCGCAGGTGCAGGAGAAGTGGCAAACCGTGAGGCAACAGAGGAAGCGGCAGCCAGAGCTGCCGCCGAGGACAGTGACCATGCCGCTCTGCAGTCGCCTGCGAGTGTTGCCCAGGCTATTGCTTTTCCGCCAGCCAGCGCATCACCAACGAACCCAGTTTTTCGCTAAAGGCCGTGTCAGAACCGTCTCGGCCTTCGAATTTAACATCTCCCATCCATCCAGGTTTTTCCCCCCGCCTGCATGAATATTCTCCATCACGACAGGAAAAGCAGTGTGCCCCATGTATGGAGCACGACAACAGAGAGCATGTGACCGCATCAGTGCAGGGTATCTCGGTTTCTCCCATCCCACACTACTCGGACACTGCATCTCTCTTGGAACGGAAATGGCCAGTGCAGCTCTCGACAGACATCCTGAGTTGGGCCCGATATTGGCACTCGTCTACAATTCAGGCTTTTGCCACTCTCATACCCCTTCCCATGGGAATGCCCATCGAGGAAATTCAAGTTTACACAGATGCCACAGCAGGGGGTTATCGTTATGAAGGCAACAGGTGTCAACCGACATGGGCTTTCTGCGTACTTGCACTCACTGCCATGGGGGTTTCTCTGATAGGACATCTTGCAGGGCCACTCAGAGGCTGGGACGCTTCGGACACTTGTGCGTCTCTACGAGCAGAGCTGGAGGCGGCCATTTGGGCCAGCGCCTGGCTGCTGCAAGCGCCCGTGCATCTGCGCCAGGCCACAGTCAGCTTTCACACTGACAACATGGACGTGCTCAGAGTATACAGGGGAGGATACGTGCAGGGCACCCTCCAACCGGTCGAGCGTCTCCTGGATTGTCTCATCCAGGCCATACGAATGTGCGTGCACAATGTCGTTTTTGAGCATGTGCATGGACACGCAGCACACCCTTGGAACGAGTGCGTCGACACACTTGCGCGTCTCTACGCCATGGATATACTCCCTGAGTTCTTTGACCCAGTCTGGAGGCACCTTATTTCCCAGGAAGAACACGACAAGGCACTACCATGGATTTGGTTGGCATACGCTGATCCGACTACGCAGGAGGCTTACCCGCCCCACTACGGACAGCATCTACCCACCCCCCAGGCTCCCACTACGGGCTTCACGGACATCATCCCGGCCCCCAAGAAGGTTCCCAAAGGCCTCAAAACCTTCGCGCTCGGGTGGCGTGCTATTGCCAACGTGCTCTCCCTGGGCCCCCGTGCGTACAAGGCCCACAAAGGGAGCCCCGACAGATACCAAGGTTTCAATGCCACTGGCCGAATGATGCGGCTCGCGGGCCAATTCGCACAGAAGCCTTACTTCCTGATAGGTACCGTGGAGACGCGTCTTCGTCGCACGGGTACCTCCGAGCTAGGCCAGTTCTACCTGTTGCACTCACAGGCCTCCGACGCCGGAGGAGAGGGCTGCGCACTATGGGTCAACACGCATTGGGAATACCAACCAGGTCTTACAGTGCAGCCTTCTCGCCTACAGGTACTGCATGCAGAGCCTACAGTGCTCATTGTGGCCGCACGGGCCCCAAGTATGTCGCTCTGTGTTTGCGTGGCGCATGCTCCGCACTCCCGCCGCCCCCCAACGGACATCGACAGTTGGTGGTCTCGGCTGCGACGCTACATACAACACAAAGGGGACTCTGAACACTTGGTCACGCTAGTGGATGCCAACGCCGCTCTGGGATCCCAAACGGACGCTCACGTGGGCCCCATACATGCCGAAAAGCAGAACCTACCAGGGAAGCATTTTCATGACTTCCTCAAGGTTACCTCTCAATGGGCCCCATCGACCTTCTACGAGGACCCCTCAGGCTCAGCGGGCTACCTGGACAGCTCCAGGGGCCAAAACAACAACCCACCGCAGGGACTACGTGGCGATATCAATGGACGTTGCGGTGCCAGCACAGTTGGTCGACCACGACATCGATCTCACCGTGCCACAGACAGATCACAACGTGGCAGCTGCGCGTCTTCTGTTTCCAACCTCCGGGTTCATGCCGGGGGCGCCCAGGCCCTACAAAGTCAAGCACGATCCGACTCTTTACACGGATCCGACCTCAGCCCAGATATTCCAGCACATGCTCATGCAGTTCCGCCCCCCGCCATTCAGTGTGCACAGCACAGACCATACTAAGGCGTGTGAAGACCACGCACGACAGTGTATGAGCACGGCATTTCCTATACGAGAGACAGCTACAGGGAGACAACCAAGGCAATCCTGGATCAGCATCGACACTCTGAGCCTTCAGGGCGAAAGAAGTATATACTTACGCCTCTCCCGCAAGATCCTCCTCTGGGCCAATCGCAACATGCTGCGTGTTCTTTTCTTTGCTTGGCAGTGGGCAATTGCATCCATGAGCTTCGAGGCTGACGACACACCAGCCACTGGCCGCTTCCCTAGCCTGCCCGCCTTAGTTTGCCAGGTTCGTTCCCTACACAGTCAATGCCTGCTACTTCCGCAGGCCACAGCGTCGCTACTAAGGAGACAAGCCTACATTAGGGAACGACACTCAGGGAAGGGATCAGGAGGACAAGGGTTGGGACGACCCAGGATGTTGGCGCAATGGGGGCACCAAGGGGTATCCGCCATCATCCTACCACCACCATTTCTACCATCAACCTACTTGGACGGGACGGTACAAGGTATGGAAATATGTCACATGCTGCTGGGGCTATGCGCATGGAGTGCGCGCCTGTGCGAGTGCCCATCGTGAGCTTATGTTGTTTCGCACAACTTTGCTCATTCGCCACTCGACAGCTCAATACGCCCTAAAGCACTACGGAGGACTGGCGTCTAGTGTGGCCGACGCATGGGAACGAAGGAACTACTTTCAAGTTTTTGCCAAGCTACGTGCCATGGGTATCGGATCAGCCAAAAGAGTCAGCACACGTGCATTACCTATTGTAGAACTGGAGGATGGCACAACCGCCTCCGCACACGCAGAGTCTGCTAATCGCTGGCTACGCCATTTTGCCGCCGAGGAGATTGGGGTAGTGGTTCCGCTGGAGGATGCAGACACCTTTGCACAGACTATCCCTAAGCTCCAGAGTAGTCTCACGAACGACATCGACCCATCGGACGCCTTCCTACCTACCCTGGCAGACTACCAACGAGCGTGCCGCTCAGCCAAGCCCTCAGCAGCCAGCTTAGATGGCATCCCAGGTGCCCTGCTACGCCAGTTTGCGCCAGACTTAGGCAAACTGTTCTACCCCGTGGTGGTCAAGGCATGCCTCAGGATAGGAGAACCGCTGCAGTGGAGAGGAGGGAACTACTGGAACATCTGGAAGAAGAAGGCTAACCCAGCCAAATGCAAACACCATCGCTCGGTCATGATTTCCTCTCAAGTGGGTAAGACGTATCGCCAGCTCATCAGAAACCCTCTCGCCAAGGTGCTCCCAACGTTTGCAGGGGACTCCCAGTTTGGAGAAATTGCAGGCAGAGGAGTAGATCGTGCAGCACTTGCGCTCAGATCATTCCAAGAGCTGGCCACAACATTGCATCAACCAGCCATGTTTTTCATGCTTGACGCCACCTCTGCATTTTACAGAGCCATCAGGGAGCTGGTCATGCAGGTTGGCACAAGTGACGCCGACCTCCACCTCATCCTCACCACTGCGGGGCTCCCAGCAGGTGCCATTGAAAACCTCAAGGCCCACATTGCCAGTCACCCCACCATCTTGGAGGCCGCTGGAGTACCCCAACATATCAGGGCCCTTACAGCCTCCAGTTACACAGGCAGCTGGTTTTGGCACCCAGGAGCCACAGCAGTTGCATACTCACTGGGGGGAACGGTGCCAGGACAGCAGCTTGGGGATGTGATTTTCAATTTTGTCATGGCAACATGTATCCAGGATGCACAGCAATCGCTACGCGAGCTCGAGCTCGACATCCGCATTCCCATTGCTTCGCATGCGAGCTTAGCCGACCTCCTGCAGCATACGCCAGACACACTAAGATGAGGATTGGACATATGCTTGTTTGACGACGGAGCTATCATTGTCATTGGCCATGCTCCCATGCTTCTACGTGCAGCACCTCTCGTTGCAGAGGTAGTTGCAGCCAGCTTTGTACGCAGAGGCTTGCGCCTCAACTTTGCAGCGGGCAAAACGGAGGTACTGTTTCAGTTGCGAGGACGTGGAGCCAGACTGGCCAAACGAGAACTCTGGCGGGACCGTCAGGGGAAGTTCGAGATACAATCCGACCTACTGGGCACGTTCACACTACATGCAGTACGCACATACCCACACTTGGGCACACAACTGGATGAGCTGGGATCCATAGGGCCCGAGTTGGCCCACAGGGAGGACTCTATACGGTCATCTGCCAATCTGCTACGACGGCGCATATTTGGGGCTCCAGTGGATATCCCTCAATAGGCAAAATTACACTTTACAGACACCCTCCTCTTCTCGGGCGTCCTCTTCAATTCGGGCACTTGGCCACAACTCACTGACGCGCAACATGCACACATGCAGCACGTCATGGTGAATAAATCCGCCGATCCGGCGTGTGAGTTTCAAGGAGTCTCAGCTACAGCCTCGAGGCTGAGCTTCAGCCTCTGGGGGGGTCGCCGGGGTGGCTCTGCCGGGGAAGGGGGGGTGGGGGGGGGGGGGGGGGTGCGAGTTTCCGGCGAACCCCGGGGCCGCTCCGGGGGAGTGGAAGATAGGGGGGGGGGGGGCGCCATGCTCCGCTTTTTCCGGCGCTTTGGAGGAGGGGGGGGGCCCAAGAGACCCCCAAGGGGTTCCAAGAGGGCCCCGAGTCGCCGAAAAATCGCTCCAAGACGCCCGAGATGGCCTCCAGACGGCCCAAGGTGTCTCCAAGACGCCCCAAGAAGCTTCCAAGAGGCCTCCCAAGAGGGCCCCAAGAGGCCAGAATCGTTGATTTTCATTGGTTTTCTCAGGGTTTTTAGCGTTCTTGCCTTTTCGGGCGTCCGACGCTCGAAGACGGCCCAAGAGGCCCCCAAGTCCGTCCCAAGACGGCCCACGATGCTTCCAACACGGCCCAAGAGAGCCCCAAGACGGCCCAAGAGGGCCCCAAGACGGCCCAAGAGGGCCTCTGGACAGCCCAAGAAGGCCCCAAGAGAGCCCCAAGAGGGGCCCAAGAGGGGGACCACGAACCGAAAGAACCGAGCTTTCCGCCCCAAGAGGCCCCCAGGAGGCCCCAAGAGACCCCCAAGGGGCCCCAAGAAGCCCACAAGAGGCCCAAAAGAGGTTCCAAGAGGCCCCAAAACAGCTCCCCAGAGGCCTCCAGACTGCCTCCGGCAGGCCCCCGGTTTCTTCCGCGGCACCGCCCAGGGCGCCACCGGCAGGATGTCCTCCGTCTCATCGTTTTCCTTCAAGTTATCGCCTCTTCCTCATTCTCCTCCTCCTCCTCTGCGACCTCACTCCTATCCCTCAACGATCGCGTCACCGAGTGCCTCTTCTTTGAAACATCCTCGCTCTTCAAACGCACATCCATACACACATGCATACATACCTACATTTAAACACATTTGCATACATAGAAAAACAATCTTCCAGACATACATACTTACATTCACACACATACACACATATTATCATACACACATACAAACATACATACAAACTAAATACATACATACGCGCACAAGCATACATACATACATACGTACCTACACACAGGCACACATGATCAATGCATGCATACATGCATGCACGCGTACATACACACACATATATCGTGAAACTCACCGCGTGCTCGAAACTTGAGAGAGACCGCGGGAAGTCGAGAGAAGCCGCGGAACGAGGCCTCTACTACTACTACCACTACTACCACAACCACTACTACTACTACTACTACCACTACTACTACTACTACTACTACTACTACTGCTACTACTACTACTACTACTACTACTACTAATACTACTACTAGTACTACAGGAGCGTTTCCCAACTAGTATGTGTGTGTGGGTGATGCTGTGTGCGCATGTCTGCGGCGCAGGTTAAGTGGTGTGACTGTGTGTGTGCGTTTGAGTGTGCGCCCATAATTTCTGCGTCTGGAGAATAACCCCGAGCGACCCGGATCGGCGGCACTGGCCGAAGGCCACTACAATATCGTCAGGTGCTCCACCTACCACAAAAGGATGAAGAGCCAGCTCCGGACAGACTGATCCTTGCTAAGGTAGAGCGAGCGGACCTACGGGCAGTGCTGCGTGTTCCAAGGCTACGCTTACTAGGACGACTCATACACTACGGCGCACCCACACTACGCAGTTTGGTTGCACATGTGTATCGGGTTGCACAGGGCAGGCGCACGTCTTGGATGCACAGAATCATGGACGATCTGGAATGGTTACGTACTACATACCACAAATTTCGTGACATGCCCGAGCCAGACACACATTTTGCAAGTTGGGAAGACAT